GGCGAGCTTCTTCTTCATTTCGAGAGGAGATCGCTGCCGGCGAAGCGCGTGAAGGGAGCGGCCACGCCGTGAGCTACGAGCTTGAGGTCGGAAGCCGTGGTGGTTTTTGGCTGGGACGAGGTGCTCACGGGACGTGTTAGTGCCAACGGAGGTGGCGTCGGGGCGAAATGAGGTTCTCGGCCGTCAATGCTCAGCTGTGACGAGGCCGTGACGAGGAGCTGCCGAGACGCGTCGAAGGTAACGCGGCCGTGTTCTTCGAAATGGCCGTGGGTTCGAAATGGACTAGTGGCCAAGTTCTACCGCGGCGGAGACGGGGTCATGACAAAATGTTGACGTGGTGGAGTTTTGTCGAGGCGGAGGTGTGATTGATCGAAAGGGCGCCGCGGCGGAACTTCATCGAGGCTGGAATTGGATTGCGTCGCGGCGGATACGGCGCCGCGCCGGGTTGGGGAGAAGGTTCTTGCCGCGGCGCGAGGCGGGGCGGCCGTGCTCAACTCTTTGTCTCGGACGGATGGTGCTATGGCGAAGTGGTTCCGCGGCGGAAGGTGAGGCGGCCGTGCCCATCACTTTGCCTCGGAGAGATCATGTTCGAGTTCTTGTCGCGAAAAGGCGATGCCGAGGTGGGACGTGGCCGTAGCGGAGCAAGGCCGAGGCTGTTGATGGGCGTGCCGCGACGGAGTGCTACCGAGATGAGGCGTTGTCAACAAGGCCTTGACGACGAGACCGGTTGGTGCCGTGGTCGATTCTTCATGGCGAAGTGGCGCTGCCGAGCCGAGACTTGGCCGTTGTGGTGATAATGTCTCGTCCTAGTTTTTGCCGCGCCCAAGTGTTTCATAATACTGCCGAAGGGATGCGATGTCGTGAATCGATCGTGACCAAACTTGCTTGTCGAGCCGGAACTTAGCCGAGGTGGTGACGACTACTCGCTCGGTCTCCTACCGTGCCCGAACTCTACCATGGGGAGATTTGCATCGTCGTGTCGCGTTGAGTTTGAGTTGCTATGTCAGTCTCGTCCCGTCTCTCGTAAAGTTTGACCGCTTGTTTGTGAAAAGTGGGCTTGTGACGGGAATTCGAAACCATGGATTTGGCGGGATACGGAAGTTTTGAGACACTTCTCGACTTCTAGATTTTGACACGGTCCTTGGTTACTTTTGCAAGGTATCGATGTCTCAGTTCGCGAGAAATCATGTCGGTGGAGACGATCCGTTTGATGGCGTTCCGGACGAGCTGCAAAGAGACGACTATCGCCAACTTGAACGTGGATTTGCGGATGATTATGGTGGGACTCACGCCGCCTGGCGTGGCTTCAGTGGTTCCGAAGAGACTCTCGGAGACTTGACGGAGGAGGACGTGCGCAATCTTGATGGATTGCTCCCTTCGTGCAGCAATGGGGGCACGCTAGTTCCCAGGGAGCCAAGTACTCGCCGTGGAAAAGTGCTCGAAGATGTTGTTGGTTCGAGTTCGAGAAATCCTCATCGGTCTATAGTTTCGGGTTTGAGGGCTTCTAGTGCGGTCCCCGAAGATGGGAGAGTTGAGCCCACGTTGGATGATGGGATGGCCAATGTTCTCGATCGTCGAGATAAGGGAAAATCTCTTAGCACAGAAAAATCCGTGTTTGACATGTTTGAGGCGTGCGGGATAGAACCGGGGATTGAGATTCTGATCCCAAAATCGCGTCGTCGCCCATGGGATGCTCCGGAAGGGTATATTTGCCTTTACGAAGATTTCTTTTCGGATTGCGGTCTTTGGTTTCCACTCCCGCAGTTTCTCGCGAGTTACTGTGCTCGTCGGGAGATAGCATTTTCTCAACTCACCGTGGCTTCTATTCGGAACGCGGTGGGTCTCGCAATCCTTGCTGCCGCTACCGGTGTCGTCATGGACTTAGATCTTTTTGAAGAGTTTACCAAGTACCTGTTTGGAAAGGAGAATCCGGGCATGTGCTGC